GGCTGACACTCGCGCCCGCAGGTTTTTGTGAGGCGAGGACGTCTACACGCCGCGAGTGACGTCTATGGAAACGTCGCGGGTTTCAGCGGTCTCCACGGATGCAGCGCCCTGATGATTGCCAAGGTTGGCGATTTAAAGCACCAGCTTAAATGTCCCCAACGTCTGTGCTGTCCCCACCCAAGGTCCTTACCCCCCCTTTCTTTCTCCTTTCCTTAAAATGTTATCTCTGTTACGGGTTGTCCTTACGTAAGAACCAAAGTGAGGCTCAGACGTGCCGTTGGAGACTTGATCGAGGGATGCTCTGGGTGGGTTCGCAAAGACGCCCGGCTTGCTAAAGACTTGAACAGCTGCACCAAGGTGCAGTGAAGCGAGACACCGGACAACGAGCGACGCCTCAGCAAGTCCCCTGGGGCATTTTTATCATTTATTGTGACTAGAGGGTTAGCGTTTCTTGGTCAGGATTACCGTTCAATAAGTACCTGATTGATGAGGACAAAAGCAGCATTGTTTGAAAAGAATCACGTTGTTACCTGTATCTTTAACTTCCGACAGGGCTTCAAAAGTTTCCCGGGACAGTTGCACTATCTTTTCTATTTCCCACTAACTTTTTGGAAGTCCCTTCATGCACGCCCACATGAACACACAGGCGGGGCAGAGCTTCACGAAGTTTGTGAGAAGATACATTATCTCTTTAATCCCATTCTGTCCATGAACTTTTTGAAGCCCCCTCGTATGTTTTCATTTGCAGCGTAAAATGGGTGTGTGTGTGTGTGTGTGCAGGCACAATCGTGTGTGAGCTCATGTATAGGTTCAAGTAACCATCCCCACCATCAGGCCCCAGAACAAGGCTGTCATCCCCCAGATTTCCTCACCCCACCTCCCCCACCTCCCAGGCTCTAGTCAGCCCTGGTTCAGTCCTTAGCCCGTCACAGTCTCTGGTTCACTGTAGTCTGCCATTTTGCCTCTCTCTCTACAGTGTCCTGTGAATGGAATCACAGTACCGCTCTGCACAGGTTTCTTTCTCTCTTCCTGTCTTGGCGATGCCTGGCCTTACCATGACTTCATTCCTTCTCCCAACCACGTGAGGACAGCTCACATTTTGTCTCAGGCACCTGTCAGCATAGCACTCCTGGTGGCACATGGTCACGTACTCAGCTGCAATCAGAAAAGTTGGCCATTCGAGCCCACCAGCTGCTCCAAAGGAGAAAGCCGGGGCCATTGACTTCTGTGGAGGTTTACATCCTTGGATGCCTTTGGGGGCAGTCCTGTGCTGCCCTGCTGGGCAGTCAGGAGTTGGCATGGCTGGGTAGCCATGGGTTTGGTTCACTTGACCTGGATTATTTCCGCTCTTTGGCTAGGGATGAGAATGGTGCTCTGAAGGTGTGTGCGGGCTTTTGTGAACATGGGTTTCATTTCTCTTGGGGGCACACCTAGAGGCAGGATTGCTGAGTCAGATGGTAACTACAAGTTTAATAGCTTCAGGAGGAACTACCCAATTGTCCTCAGCATCGCACCATCCGGCTCTCCCGGTGGCAGCCAATGAGCCCTCCGCTGGCTTTGCATACCCATCAGCCCCCTGGGATTTTTCCATCTAAAGGCTGTGAGTCGTTTGAAAAGGTACATGGTGGGAGCTGACTGTTGCTTTTATTTGCATGGAAACGCATTTCTTAATGAGACACCTGGACATCCCCTCACCTCCACACACCCATGGGTGGGTAGCACTTTTTGCTGTACAAGCACACCTTGGTTTATTGTGCTTCGGGCTATTAGGCATCTGAGATACTGTGTTTCCTACAGATGGCAGGTTTGTGGCCACCTGGAGCAAGTCTTGTTGATGCCATTTACCCCCAAAGCAAGTGTTCACTATTGCCCTGTACCCTGTGCTGGCTCTGTTGGGTGTTTCCCTGATGGTTGTGTGACAATAGACCATCTGCATCACACAAACACACCCCACCCCAGGAGACCAAGCAATGCGTGGTGCTCCCCTTTTGGGGGGCCATATTTGTTTGAGCCTGTGGTCTCCAAGATCTGCCGGTCATGAGGTTGGCGTTACCCTCGACTCTTCGCCTTTGGCACAGCAGCTATGCAGGCATAAAGAAACAGCCATGACTCGAATTCGACCTTGCAAGTCTGGCTAGACCAGAGGATGTACACTGGTACAGATAGGAGCTGAAAATGCAGGGAGTCCAGGGCGGATGAGCCCTGCGGGACCAGTGGTGTGAGTGGTGAGGCAGGGAGGGTGGGGGGAGAATGGGTAGGAGGGAGGGAGCCGATTGCAGGGAACTGTATGTGACCTCCTCCCTGGGGGACGGACAACAGAAAAGTTGGTGAAGGGAGACGTCAGACAGTGCAGGATATGACAAAATAACAATTTATAAACTATCAAGGGCTCATGAGGGAGGGGGGAGCCGGGAGGGAGGGGAAAAATGAGGACCTAATGCCGGGGGTTTAAGTGGAGAGAAAATGTTTTGAGAATGATGAGGGCAATGAATGTACAAATGTGCTTTACACAATTGATGTATGTATGGATTGTGATCAGAGTTGTATGAGCCCCTAATAAAATGATTTTTAAAAAAAGAAAAGAAAGCGGGAATGGGAGGGGTGCCCTGGTGCAGGTCTCTATTCCGTGACTGCTGTCTGTGCGACAGACAAAAATCACGCCGTGATCTGTTAAGTGCATCTCAGCTGACACGTCCACTGGGTGTCTCCTCAGATTGGTAGACAGCAGTGAAGTGGCAGCCGTCCAACTTGGGAGAAGGGTTTGTTACCCAATCTGTGAATGTGTCCTCGAAACCAGTGTTTGGGACTTCCCCTGGGGGGGGGTTGCCGGCAGGCCAGGGAGGCGTGGCTGTCCCTGTGGAGTGAGTGGGTGAAGGGTCTCTAGAAGGGCTGGGACTTGGCCCCTTCGTCTCGGGCCTGCTGTAGGGGAAGCCCCAAGACCCAATGTCCCTGCCTGAGTCAGGGTTCCGAAATGGGGTTCCCCTAGTGCCTCAGTGCCTGTTCCTCTTGAAAAGCCATCCCCAAGGTTCTCTAACTTTCTCTCTAATCACCACTGCTAGTGCCTGGGGGC